TATATATATATATAGGATGTCACCCTTGAAACAATTGCAGAACCTGCTACACTGAACAGACAACGACAAACAGCCAAAACTGAACTAAATTGGTCAGCACAGCAGAGAAAAATATACCAGCCTACACACAATATGTTAACAAAGATGTGACATTGATTAAAACTCACAGGATATACATGTGAGGCACACACACAGGTAAGCAAATGTATTATGAAACTATGAAGTTTCTTACACAGCTGTCAAGCTATACAAAAAAAGGATTTGTGTACAGCTGAGCAGAACCTATCCGACTATGAATGATATTTCACCTGTTCCACAGGCCAAATTTAAACAGTCAAGTACCCATTAGAGCACAAAGTGAAATTATAGTCCTGTTTAATCAAAATGTTAAACAGTGAAGTGTAGCTCATGAAAAAAATTCAACCATTGCCTTTATCTAGGCTCGCTGTCGCATTGCATACGGTCTGCTGCTGATCCTGACCAGAACTCTTGTCTAATTCTTTCTCATCGTCCTTGTTGAAGGTCTTCCCGTCAGGCTCCTTCAACCATCTTAGCTTGAATTCTTCATTCGGGCTGTGCTCATTTAATCTCTGACTGAACTGTGAAACACAAACACCTCACTTTAGTCAACCATAGCTGTAAATATTGGCAGAAATGTAATAGAAATAAATAGAAATAACAGAACTAGATGTAGCATTTTTTATTATAATGGTGAAGTTTTAGTTCACACTCAGATATAATTACCTTTCCCAAGATGTTCTCTTTTAGTCCCTCCATATCCACAGCAGTGTTAGTTGTCTTCAGCTGCACTTTCAACACCTTCCTCATAGACACAGCTGTTTCATTAGCAAAACAAATTAAAACTGAATCGTATCAATTAAGGATTAACGAGTTCTGTGAACATTAGATTGCTTTTAAAAACTGAGAGGAGAACTCACCAGTGAAACAGGCAAAGTTACGGGTATTCATACAATTAGAGTTGACCCAGTTCACAGATGATGAAGCACCACAAGAAGCTGTCACTAACGTGGACGGTGAAGTGGAAAACCAGCTGGTAAATGAAAGTGTGCTCCCATCTGACCACTTCCAGGAGTTTCTGTAAAGACCGATCCAAGCAGTGGAAGTTGCAATTGCCTTCAGCTGTTGACTCTCAGATTGGTTCCTCACACTGGCCAGGTCAGTGTAGTGGTCCCTGCAGTAGCTTTGAGCATCCCTCCAGGACTTACTCACACCCACAAAGATGAAACTTGATGTGTCTGAAAACATTTGAACAGTGTTTTACTCCAAAGTCATTACAAATATCCAAACAAGTAATAGAAACCATGTTGTAATTTCTCAGCATGGTGTAAAACTGCAATTATTTATTTGTGTCATTTAAACCAGGACTATAGCAGAGTTAAAATATAATTTCAAATGATCTGGCTCTGTTACAAATAGAATCGCTTATGGTGATTCTGAAAATGAATACCATGTGCATTTTTCCTTCTTTTCATCTTTTCTTTGTATTTTAGTCCCGAGACACATTTATGAGCTCTAAGAGACTTTTAAGGTTAATTTTTGTTTGGATCATTGATAACATATAAAATGTTCAGCAACGATTTCTTTTACAGCTGCAAACACAGCCTTAAAGGGAATAATTGATAGTAATAATAATAACACTCATAGTTTGGTCTTCATTACCTTTGTTGTAGCAGTAGAATGGTAACAGGTTTCCACACAACTGGTCATCCCAGTTGCCATTTTGAAGCATTGCCACACAAGCCATGTAGATGCTTATTCCATAACTGGGTTCCCCATTATTCCACATCATGAAGT